CCCTTAAATAAGGTTTTATGTCGCCGACGGAGCGAACGGCAGCGCGGCTGAGGGCGCAGAGCTGCTGCTGGCCGGTGCCCAGGCACAGACAGCGTGTGGGGGAAACAAACACCAGCATCTGCACCTAATTATCTCGTTTTATAGATTAATAATATCTTATGTCATCAGCATCCTCGCAGCCGAGTAACATGGTTTGGGTGGCAGTGCTCTGCACGCGCCAGCGGAGCCGCTGGGCCCCACCTACAGCCTTAAAAGAGCAACGAAACACACACAATAAATCTTAACTTTTCCATTTTATTTATGTACATCTGCTGCGTCTGATTCACTCCCGAGCCATCAGCTTTTGCTTCTTCAGCTTCTTCTGGGAAATCTGAAAAACAAAACACAGAAATGAGAAAACAGCGAGGCTACACCTTCCCAAACCATCATACAATTAAGTTTACCATCCTCCTTTGAACTGATAACTGTTGGGAAGACGAACAAACCCTCTGTGTGGTACCAACCCCCAAGAAGTGCCTCGCTCAGCTCTCAACATCACATTTACGAGAAATATTGAGGTTGCTCAGAAATAACAACTTATTTTTTTTTCATGGGTGTTCCAAAGGTGTCCTAAGATAGTCATCACAGCAACCCCCTTTGCCTGCCAAGCACCGACACTCGCGTTTCGTGATGCCCACACCGATCAGGACGAAGGATCTGCTGCCAAGTACCTTTTTCTTTTGAGCGACTTCTTCCTCTGGTTTGGGAACGATCTGCTCCTTCTCGGTGAGGATCATCTCGATGTGGCAGGGGGAGCTCATGTAGGGGTTGATGCGACCGTGCGCTCGGTAGGTGCGCCGACGCATTTTGGGAGCCTTGTTGACCTGGATGTGCTCAATCACCAGAGAATCCACGTCAAGACCCTGGGAGGGGAGGGGAGGGAAAGGTAAAACTCGTGACTTGTTCTTCTCTTCAAATAAATAACCTGCACGTAACTGCGAGCAAATAAAACACCCAAACTCCGCACTGCCACGGAACAGAGTGTTTACCAAGCAAGCACCAGGTGAAGTCAGAAAACCCTGACCATCTTTCTACGCTTCACAATGAATTTAAAATGATGCTGATGGCTCAGAAAAAGAGTATTGTTTTCTCATGGTTATTCCAAAGGTGTCCTAAGATAGTCATCACTGCCATCAAAGTGACCAAATTAAGCACCGAGTACATTACAAAAACACAAATCGACCGAGAGCCCACAGATTTTGCTTTGTTTTGTAGGTTTTAAGAGATCTAAACCACACTCATGCCAAACAGTTGATAACAGTACACCAACACCTCTACACAATTCGGTTTCACCCACAAAGCAGGGCTCATCCTACCACCGAGTTCAGGAGCGCTGACGCACAGCGTGACACAAACACCGCACATTTAATGACATCTACACAGCCTACCTTGAGCTCAGCATTACTCTCCGCGTTTTTGAGCATGTGCAGCAAGAACTCCGCGCTTTTCTTGGGCCAGCGTCCCTGCGTCCAGCCCCACTGCTTGGCCTGGAAGAAGAGGAAAGTTCGTTTTTATCGTGGTACAACGTAACTTACCCTTTACACACCAGTAACTCACCATTACATTCCCTTTTTATTAAGACTGCATAGCAAAATAATTAATTTGATGAATTACCTGACACTGCAAGTAGACACAATGCTTGATATACTGGAATTAAGAATAACTCTTTTCCCCCTCTTAAGTTTATATATAAAATTATCATGAACAACAGCAGACTACTGTCTCAGCACCCTCTTTTCCCTCTTCTCTAACCAGCCTCAGCCAAAGTTTCCATCCCGGACCTCACCTGGGCGCATCTCCCGACTCCCCCATTGTAGCGACGGAAGGGAACACATTGCTTCTTCAGGGTGACATCCTTCAGGTACTTGGTGGCCTTGCGGATGTGCATGCCCTTGATGGCCTGCGCGGTCTCACGAGAACTCCCCCCCCCACAACTCCCCCCCCAGTAATTTAAAAAGTGAAGAATAATTCGCAATGCTTTATTTTTTTGTTACCTACTGCTCTAACCCTTGGTATGACTTCCATTACTGACTGCAGCTCTGGCACGTCTTTATGTTTTTTTACCTAACGGCTAGATCTTTCTAACCAGCAAAATTAACATTTGAGTATTTATACTTTACATGGTTCCTCTTTAGCCACTAATTCCAAAAAAAGCAGGAGTCTGAAAGACAAATTCCTACTGAAATGTCAAATATGGCACCTCAGAGGAAGCAATGAGAAAACAAGCTACAATGTAATTATCTCTGTAAGGGAATTATAGAGGGGAGAGAAGAAAAAGCTCAGAAAGAAAAATCAAGGATAAACTATTAGTGCTTAAGACAATGTGAAAGTCACAGAGAAACTAATCCCACGTGATCACAACGAAAGAGCAAACCGAAATAAGGGAAACCTCTTTTCACCAGCACTGTGTAACACCGAGCAGAAAAGCATTTGCTCAGCGTAAGGGAATTATAGAGGGGAGAGAAGAAAAAGCTCAGAAAGAAAAATCAAGGATAAACTATTAGTGCTTAAGACAATGCGAAAGACACAGAGAAACTATAATCCCATGCGATCACAACGAAAGAGCAAACCAAAATAAGGGAACCCTCTTTTCACCAGTACTATGTAACACCGAGCAGAAAAGCATCTGCTCAGTTTTGTGGTTAACTCAAATCCTAAACTCACTGCAGCACCTAAACCTTCTCCAGAGGAACCCACGTCCTCCCCCGTGGTCCTCACGCCCAACACCACACGCCTCCCCAGCCACACGTCTTGACTGGCAGCACGCTCAAACCAACACCACGTTCTTTCCAAACCACCAAAAAGGCAGAGTAAGGCAAACGAAACAAATTCCTTTATCTAACGCTAGCTCAATTCCTCCTGCTAAATTCACTGCAACTGCTTTCCTGTTGTATTTTATTATCTATGTTAGACGGGAAGCTTTTTAGGACACATCATCTTGGTTTTGATCCTGTGGACAAAAACCATCACAAGCAGCTAAAGCAAACGGCCATAACCTGTACTAATGCCCTTAACTATGATAGCAATACATGAGAGGAAAAGACACCTCCTTCAAAAAAAAGCCAAAAAATCAACCTCCAAACAAATGAATTTGCACTTCCTACTATGCCCACACCGCGTACCTTGAAATGCACTCGCAGGTTGGATCCCCGGGACTTGCATGCTGCGGAGAGAAAAGACAAACTTTTATTAAAGCCTATCTACAATTCCACGAGTGTGGGACTCGATGGTCTTCAAGGTCCCTTCCCACCTAGATGAATCTACAATTCCACGAGTGTGGGACTCGATGGTCTTCAAGGTCCCTTCCCACCTAGATGAATCTACAATTCCACGAGTGTGGGACTCGATGGTCTTCAAGGTCCCTTCCCACCTAGATGAATCTACAATTCCACGAGTGTGGGACTCGATGGTCTTCAAGGTCCCTTCCCACCTAGATGAATCTACAATTCCACGAGTGTGGGACTCGATGGTCTTCAAGGTCCCTTCCCACCTAGATGAATCTACAATTCCACGAGTGTGGGACTCGATGGTCTTCAAGGTCCCTTCCCACCTAGATGAATCTACAATTCCACGAGTGTGGGACTCGATGGTCTTCAAGGTCCCTTCCCACCTAGATGAATCTACAATTCCACGAGTGTGGGACTCGATGGTCTTCAAGGTCCCTTCCCACCTAGATGAATCTACAATTCCACGAGTGTGGGACTCGATGGTCTTCAAGGTCCCTTCCCACCTAGATGAATCTACAATTCCACGAGTGTGGGACTCGATGGTCTTCAAGGTCCCTTCCCACCTAGATGAATCTACAATTCCACGAGTGTGGGACTCGATGGTCTTCAAGGTCCCTTCCCACCTAGATGAATCTACAATTCCACGAGTGTGGGACTCGATGGTCTTCAAGGTCCCTTCCCACCTAGATGAATCTACAATTCCACGAGTGTGGGACTCGATGGTCTTCAAGGTCCCTTCCCACCTAGATGAATCTACAATTCCACGAGTGTGGGACTCGATGGTCTTCAAGGTCCCTTCCCACCTAGATGAATCTACAATTCCACGAGTGTGGGACTCGATGGTCTTCAAGGTCCCTTCCCACCTAGATGAATCTACAATTCCACGAGTGTGGGACTCGATGGTCTTCAAGGTCCCTTCCCACCTAGATGAATCTACAATTCCACGAGTGTGGGACTCGATGGTCTTCAAGGTCCCTTCCCACCTAGATGAATCTACAATTCCACGAGTGTGGGACTCGATGGTCTTCAAGGTCCCTTCCCACCTAGATGAATCTACAATTCCACGAGTGTGGGACTCGATGGTCTTCAAGGTCCCTTCCCACCTAGATGAATCTACAATTCCACGAGTGTGGGACTCGATGGTCTTCAAGGCCCCTTCCCACCTAGATGAATCTACAATTCCACGAGTGTGGGACTCGATGGTCTTCAAGGTCCCTTCCCACCTAGATGAATCTACAATTCCACGAGTGTGGGACTCGATGGTCTTCAAGGTCCCTTCCCACCTAGATGAATCTACAATTCCACGAGTGTGGGACTCGATCTTCAAGGTCCCTTCCCACCTAGACGATTCTACAATTCCGCGACTGTGGGCGCAGCGAGGCGCCTGCGCAGGGCTCCCCGCAGCCCCAGGCTCAGCCCCGTGCCCCGTGCTGCGTATGGGGAGAGCTGTTTGGGTCAGGAAAGGCTGACACTGGAGCCAGGACACGCTTTTATTAACCCTCAGCTCAAGGCCAGTGTGGTTTGCAGCCCAGAAATCAGTTGGGACCGGACCAAGGAGCAAACCCACGGGCCGCAGCTAGATGGCAGTTCAGGATGAGAATAGAGAGCAGCACATCCCTTAACAGAGGTAGTCCAAGAGATCAGCCTAAAGAGATTCATGTTTTTAAATTGCAACTGCACCATTATAAAAAAAAATCAAAGACACACTTATTAAAATAAAATATTTCTTTTTTTTTTTCCATTATAGGCTGCGTTTGCCACTAGAACTGCTTGGGAAATGTGACAAAGCAGCAGTTCAAGAAAACCAAAACATTTCCTGACAGTGGTACCCCGCTTCCAGCAAAAGGCTCGTCGAGAAAAGTTTGGCAGAGTGGAGAAAAAAAGCGAAACATCTTCCCGAGCGGCCAGCGGTCTGGTGTGCTGGCACCTCCCTGGCACGAGAGAGTCTGGGTTCAACGCTGCGTTTAGAAATAAGAGCAAGAACTTACCACCCATGTAAATACTCTGACCACCAGGCTATTTTTGGATGTCTTGTTGAGCGCTAAAAAACCCCAAAGCTTTGAAGCTAGGATTTCACCCGGATGAGAAGAGGGAAATATTTGAACTATCACAAATATTTATGTGGCTGGAAAGTGTAGAGCTCTGATTCTGACTGCAGTTCTCCATTTACCTGCCTTAAAAGGTGCCTTTTACTTTGCTTTCAAGGAGGAGCTTTCTGCAAAGTCTCCAAGGAACTTATGAGCACCGATCTCAAAGCAGGGAAACCTGCTGGGATGCGGGCAAATATTATTTCTTCTTTTTATATACAAGGTTCCCATGAAAAGAAAGAGTTAGCAGCCCACACTCAGAAGAACACACTGGAAGAGGGCAGGTTTAGATTAAACATTAGGAAGAAGTTTTTCACTTTAAGGGTGGTGAGGCACTGGAACAGGTTGCCCAGAGAGGTTGTTGAGGCCCCATCCCTGGAGGTGTTCAAGGCCAGGCTGGACGTGGCCTTGGGCAACCTGGGCTGGTGGGAGGTGTCCCTGCCCATGGCAGGGGGTGGGACTGGATGGTCTTCAAGGTCCCTTCCAACCCAAACCATTCTATGAGTCTATGATTTTGAGATACTCAAGATGTGTTTTCAACAGTTAGCACTTCCATCATCATCCATGGGATTACAAGTCACTTGGCACCTTAGTACACACAACCATCTTGGCATACCGGTAATGCAGAGGAGGATCAGCACCACCAAAATAGACACATGACAGCCTTTCTAAGCCAAGCATTACTAGAGAAAAATAAACAAACCAGAAAAAGCATCTCCTCTGGGGTCTCATGTCTTCGAGGAAGCAATAAATACATAAAAAGAGATCTCAGCAATGACTTCCAACACTTTCTTAGTGTTTCAGTTCTCCTTCCTATGGAACAAGAACAGTAATATTTCCAAAAGTGCTAACTTTCCAGATGGAATAAATTAAAACTAGCAAAAGCTGAGGTTCTCAAGCACTTCCATGGCCTTCCCCGCCATACTGGGGGAATCTCCTCTCACAGCCCACATGAATGCAACTTTACTCCTTCGTCGTTTCTGCCCTCCTCTCCACACCTGCCTCTACGTAGGAAACCAGTGCTGGTGGTGGAAACCGGCCTTTCCATGGGAAGCACCTTTTCACACAGCTTCTTCTTAACAGCAGAGCACAAAAGCAACAAGACATTCAGAGAAGGCAGGAGAGAGGGACGTGAAACATAAGTAGTTGACACATGGTTGGAATTGTCACATGGTCGTTGTGTTCATCAGTCGAATCCAAAACAAACAGGGGATGTTTTCTGTTACTTACGTTTTCTCTTTCCCCGACACGTGGAACTGTTTATGATCAGCTGCTGAGGGCTTGCAATGGTGGAAATGTAGAGGTAGGAGCTTCTGCGGATGGTGTCAGGAAATGAGATGCGTGTTTTCATCTTTGTTGGGAGGTTAACAACTGCTCTCAGAGGCAGCCTAGCACATATCTGGTGCTGAGATCAGGGCTGGGGCAGCTGAGCATGTGCCCTTGTCGAGGTTTACCCAGATTATTCCCCCAATGCACCAGCTGCCTTGGATATTTAGCTTGCGTGAGCTGACTCAAAAAGAGTTTTTGGGTCCTAAGCAGAGCATGTAGGCACGTAAGTCCAAAATCATGTTTCTGAAAGCTCCTGCGTAGGAAGCAGCTGCCTCCTAATCTTACTGGAATCTCAACTCCATAGGACTTTACCTGAAATTCCTCAGCCCTCACAGCTCCCCTGTCCATACCACCCAGTGCTGGTGATTGTGCTGTGCATGCCCAGGAAGACCTCACTCTCCCAGCAGGCACTGAAAGCAAAGAATCAACTGTGTTCAGACCTGTACTGTTCCACTACTTTGTACTCTGGAAGCTCCTGCTGGTAGCATCCTCCCGGGAAGGGCTGATCGCAAGGACAGCAATGGTTTCTACCTTCTCCTGCGATGCGGCTGCAGAAAGCGGTAGTGCCCATCTCAGCCCAGCAGCACGGTGGCCACAGCGCACTCCCAGGATGTGGGAGACCCACTTTCACTTTTCTTCCCTTGAGAGGTTTCAAAGTTGCATCCTAACCAGGCGGCCAGAGGTTATTCTGTGGCAAAGATGTTCCCGTCCTTCCTGCTACGGGTTTTCTGCCAAGCAGCCCCCAATGAGGTGGTTTCACACCTCTCCTCTGGTCCTGCTCCTGGGGCTTGAAGGGGGCTGCAACCTGCCCTGGAAGAGCCCGGCAGGCAACAGGTTGCGTACAGGTACAGGAATGTTGTATCACATAAGTCCTTTTGTGGATTTAGCTATGAATAAACAAGCAGCCTTATCAGTCCTACGTGAATTGCCAAGCCAGATGTCATCCCAAGTGACAATCAGTCAACGCCCTTGATAGCCACCATCCCTCCTGGCCAGAGGGAGAGGTGAGCTCCAGGGACTGGCCAGGGCTGTGTTTTCACAGCAGGTCTGGAACCAAAAAGAGAGGTCACCTCCAGCCGTAGAACCCCTCTGCTCACCTTCCAGCAGCTCTAACGCTGCCACAGGAGATGTGACAGAAGCCAACCTGTGCCTGTCCTCAGCCAGCCAGTTCAGAGGCCAAAGCATTCCGTTTAGCCCCTACTCTGTCACAGCTCAAGGCACACATCTGCCTTTGCCACCCTGCTTGGGGACAGTAACTTCTAACAGAGGGGCAGGTGGAACAACAGGAGGATTCGTGCTAAAATCCCCCTGACAGGTAGGTCCACTGGGGCCGACTGGCCAAGCTTAACTCCGGCTCGCTAAAACATACTGTATGTCCGCTGTGCTACAGGAGGGGGTTTTGAGCGGTTCTTTGCTCAGAAAAAAGAAGCCAATTCTTTAAACTTTTCTCTAGATTTCTTGGCATTCATCTTACAGACTCAGATTTTGCAGCCCAAGGGTTATGTGGGGATATTAACTGTCATTCACAAAATTACATACAAATGGGTTGCTTTTGTCCTAATGGTTAAGCAGAAAAATCGTGAAGACAAAGGCACCCAATACTCATTTTGAATTGAAACCAGCTTGAAGGCTGGAGCTGCAAACACTGAAAGCTCTCCAGCCTTCAGACAGCTGCCGTGCTTTCTTTCCCTCAACTCCTCTCTCCTGACCAGCCTCTGGGCTCCTGCACTCCACCTCCCAGGTGCGTGGCTCCTCCAGAGGGACAGCTCACTCCCGTTCTTTGCTTTTTCCTCCTACGGTCAGCAAGGCGGCGGCGTTTGGACACGTGGTAGGTCAGTTCGCCACCTAAAGCCACTTGCCGCAACCAATGTCCTAAAATCTTTCGACCCAGGCAGTGAGTCCCAGGAGCACGATCTGTGGGCTTGGAAAAGGAGGCAATGCATCTCCAGAAGATGGACTGACCAGGACAAGACACTCTAGGAGTTTTGCTCTGCATCAGTAATTCTGTCTTGGTCACTTAAAGAGCTCGATTATGTTATATATTCCTGGAATGCTTTTGATTCCCCGTGTGTCCTCCTAAAACACAGGGAATTCTTTACAAGCAGAGGTTAGCTACAGTCTATTCATTTCTCTTGCGGATATGCTGTACGCAGTCCAGGGGTGAGGAAACAGCCAAGGGAGCTCGGCGCCGTGACAGCTGAGTATCTGTCCTTACCGTCACCGCTGCTGAAGCGTGACGCAGCAGGCACGGCACCTTCCCCACGCTGCTGGTGCCCAGCCAGCCAGGACCGTGGTCAAAACAACAAAAAAAACCCCACAGCAATCGGTGAGATTGTCTTAATACTCAACGTTTTTTGGCATATTGTCCCAGAGCTACGGGTTCATCCAACCCCTGCACGCCCAGCTAGGAGGGAATCACCTGTAAAACAAACCTCCTGTGTGATTAAATAACCTTGTAGCTGAAATTTGTGTTTATTCAGTGTATTTCTTGCCAGCAAACCATTTACGCAGGTTGTGCAGGTCTATGACTGCTCGTTCATGGTTTTCACTGCCAGAAACGGACCAGCCAATCGCCTTGATGAGTAAGGCAGTAAATAAAGACATCATGTAAGTGCCTGATCATAAACACTATTTGGGATAAATTAAATCCTGGGCTTAGGTTTGCTCTGACCTGTCTGGCTCATAACTGAGAAGTACTGCTTTAAAATGTGCTTTTGGTTAATGAAGCCAAAAATATCCCTGGAATCGGGGATATCGCCCACAGTTTGCGTCCACATCTCAGGCACAAATTAAAATATAGGGAATCCTGTTTAAACATGAGAGAAACCCTTTTTTTTTTTTTTTTTTTTTACTGTGAGGATGGTTGAACCCCAGAACAGGTGGTTCAGAGAGGCTGTGGAGTCTCCATCCTTTGAAATAAAAATACGACTGGGCAGTATCTTGGGCAACCAGCTCTGGCTCACCCTGCTTTGAGCTGCAGGGGGGTTGCTCTAGACAATCTCCGCTGGCCCCTTCCGA